CTCCCCACCTCCCCCTCCCTTCCCCCTCTCTTCCCTTGCTCTCTCTCACTCTCTTTCATCTTTCTCAATCTCCTTTTATAAGAAATAAAACTGCTTAAACCATCCAAAGCAAACAAGCTCCTGCTCTGAGCTCTGCTTGGTGAAGCCTGGCTTGCCTGGCAAGGGGCTAGGGAGCCCAGCGTCCAGCCATCCTATCCAGGCACCTGCAGCCAGGTGGCTTTCCCAGGTGAGCCCAGAGCACTGGACATCAGGAGGCTGACAGACCCAGAGGACTTCGCCACCCTTGGCCCAGCAGGGGAGGGAGCCACCTGGTGACTTCGGGGATTGATTAGTCAAAGTTTGGGAGGGGATGAAAAAACCATGCAGTCAAACAGGGCTCAGGGCTGAGGGAGGTGGGGTCTCAGGGCCTCCAGTTCTGCTCGCCTTGCACCCAGTCTCCTCCTGCCCGGTCTCCTTCCCTCCCGGGTCCTTTCCTGCGTATGTCTCTGGGCAGATGTCAGGGTGAGCCTGAGTCTTGGAGTCCCAATGCAGCTCACAGGCCAAATACCTCTTTTGGCCAATGTGCTTAACCCAGGGCCCTGGAGCACCCTGCACTGAGCTAGGGCCACCTTAGCCCCAGTCTTCGGTGTGGGCCAGCGGTGCACATGGTCAGGGCCACTGCAGCTCCTGGGCTCCCTCCTCCGTTGCCCTCTTACACGGGCACAAGTCTTTTTTGGCAAACTGACATGTTCTACTGACCAGCTCTCTCCCCACTCACCGGCGCCAGGTGGGGTATGAGGGGAATGAGAGAGCCTCTGCTCCAGTCCCCCCTCGAACCTCGCGTAACAGGAAGCCACCATCTCGCTACCTCCAACACCCCCCCCCCTGCCCCGACCGGATGGGCAGTTCCCTCTGCCTTCTCCCTGGGGACACTCAGCACCAAGCCAGGCCCCACCAGCTATTGGCTCCTGCCCCACACTAGCTCACGGGAGAAGGAAGGGGCCATCAGGGTCAAAGCCAGGGTCACAGTCCCCTCTGCATGTCATGTGACATGGCTGGGATGGGGATGGGAGCCTGGCAGTCCAACCAGAGCCCCAGGCCTGCCCTTGCACACACGGGGTGAGCCAGGGTGCCCAGCCGCTGGAAGCCGGGGATGCTGACCCGCATCTGCCGCATGGCCCAGCGCGGCTCCAGGCAAGCGCTCCGAGGCCTGGCTCACCTCACGCCCATCTTGCAGTCCATCACGCAGGGCGAGTCGAAATCGGCCAGCAGGTCGTCCATCTGGTTGTAGCGCTCCCCGTCCTTCACCACGTCCCCGTGATAGGCCGGCACGTAGGGCTTCAGCACGTCGGCCATGAGCCGGTCGAGGCAGCGCTGCTCGGACTCGCAGTGCTTCTTCAGGATCCGGCCGTTGGCGGCCGCCTTGAAGCTCCCTGCACAGCAAGGTGAGAACGGGCCCTTGGTCCTCCCGCTCTGCCCACTCCCGCCCCCGGACAGCCCTCTCGGTGACAGTGCCTGTGTCCCTCGGGGATGCTTCGGGGCTGGCTAAGCACAGAGCCCAGGTCTCAACTGTGGACTGAGCACTTTAAGAGGAGTGGGTGCAAGTCCTAGTCCCCCCAACTGATTGCAACTCTGAGCTGGTTCCCCATTTGGAGGGACACCAGTGCTCACTGCTGGAGGTCAGCAGGGCTACATGAGAGGTCTGTGCCAACACTCATTCTTTCCTCTTTGTATTACTGTTACCACCACCCCCATCATCAATCCTGCTTCTAGGGCAACCAAGGTGTCTCTGGTCTCAGGAGAGACTCGGATAAGACCTGGCTCAGGTCCAGGACAGAGAGACTGACTGAGAATCGAGGTCCCAGACTCCACCCACCTGGCTATGCCCCTTCCGAGCCACACCCTCAGGTGAGCATTCAGGAGGTGTGCCCATCCACGGGCCCTGGGCTGAGCCAATGTGGTTGGGGATATAAAAGAAACGTCAGACCCTGTGCTGGCCTGAAGTGAAGGCCAAGCACATGGGCTGCCACTGAAATGCCCCTGCAGGATGAGGCACACCAAGGGCCCCGGGCCCCACATGTGGACTGGACAGCTCTGGGGCTTTGGCTCCAGGTGTCCCTCCTCCTCTGTCACTGATAAGCAAACTGGAGACCACATGGCTGACCTGGTGCCCTGGCCACCTGCACCCAGCACTCCATCCCTTCTTCCACCTCTGAGCTCCTTCGGGCAGATACGACACTTTCATTAATGTTGTGACCCCTGATGACGGGACATCTTGGGGGTATATAGTTGATGCTCAATGAAGGAGTTAGTTAGCACTGCCCTGTTGTCTAAGATGACAAATGGCGGGCAAGCCATAAGATCTATGACTTCCATCTGTTTTATTGAGTTAAACTGGAAGGGCTAGAGAAAGAGATGGAAAGAATCAGAGACCGAGGGGAACTGTGTGTTTTGGGGAGGGGATGTCCGTGTGCATTTTCAAGGCATCGTGAAGGTCACATCTTGAAAGGATGGCTGCAATGGCCACTGCCAATTCTCAGAGAGAACCTGTTTGGATACTTTCACCCCCAGGAGTGTCCAGGGCCAGGCCCCACCCCACCCCACGTGTGCTGGGCAACTCCCCAGGGTGCCCAGGAGAGCTGCGCTACCTGCATGTCCTGCCAGCTGGATCCAGGGGTACTTCTTCTTGAAGGACATGACAAAGGGAGACCAGTGCACCATGTTTTTTATTTTCCTCCATGATTTGCTCTAGAAATAAGCAAATGAAAAGCTCTACATTAGAAAGAGAACTGCTTTCTGGTTAGGGTGAACTCGAAGCAGGACAACTCACTGCCCGTGGCCACAGGATGCGAGGGGCCATGCCCACCACGCAGGTGCCTTCGGTGGGACCTCACCTCCAGCAGAGGGGGCTTTGCAAAGGCTAAGCAAAACGCCCAGAAGCGAGGGGATCTTCGAGGATGAAGCTCTTACAGGTTTTGAGGGTGGGAGGAGGGGTGAAGAGCTGACCCCTCCAGGGCTGACCCTGTCCCATGGCACCCTATCAGGGAACAACTGAACCCACACTGCCCCCCTTTCCACCCCTTCTCAGGGCCTCAGTTTCTTCATTTCTCTAGTGAGGGAGAAAGAGCTGGTCTATCAGGCTCCTTGGACTGACGTGTCCGTCCAGGAGGACTGTAGGACTCTGAAAATAACGTCCTATGTCCTAACAGACATGGCCCTTCAGAGAAAGACTAGGGCCACTATACCCGGCTGCCATGTGTCAGTTCACATTTCATTTGTAGACTCGGTAACAACAGAGGCACCTCTTGCCTGTGAACGGTTTGAAGAGCGATTTTAAAGGGAGTTCCCCAGGGATAGCGCCCTCACCCCCCACCCCATGGGGTGAGCAGGCCTCTCCCCTTCACGGTGCTTCTCCTTTGCAGGAAGATTTTGTGTGTGTGTGTGTGTGTGTGTGTGTGTAGGAAAGGCTCCTTGGGCAGAGCACCTTCTTTCCCCAACAAGCATTCAAGGCGGTTATGGTCATTTGTAGAACCTGAGCCTCAGAGAAGTAAGCGATAAAACTGGCATTTAAACCCTCACCTATTCGACTACTTTTAAAAAATCCCCTTTCCCTCCAGCAATAAGCATTTCTTTAGAAAAAACATCCCTAAGTTAACTTTAGTAAAAACATGCCATAGAGATAAAAAAAGATTAAGTGGCCCCAAACATGTGAGCCCTTGACGGGGTGATGAGAACCTGAACCGAGAAGGATTTCGAGTTCCTGAGAAAGCGGATGCCTGACCAGCCAAGCCAAGAGTCAAAGCCACCAGGCTCTGTGCTGGGGGGAAGGAGGTGCTAGGAATTCTGTAGAAGGGGTTGAGGGGGGTCCTGCCTTGACAGGGGACCCTGAGGATAAGTCTCCTCGCTCCCTGTCCCACGGTGGCCAGCAGCTGCCCTGAGGAGGGAGACTGGACGGACTCTGGCTGTGGATGCTGCTGGAGCCCAAGGTTAAGTCAAGGTTAAGTCAGCCTCCTTTGATTTTTCTCTCTTTTCGGAGACTCAGCACTTCTGTCATCAGGTTTTCAAGTTAAAAGTCTGTTTAAGGAGAATTCTTCCCTCCTGAACCTGGCAATTTTTATTCCTACCCCAGAAGCCCTCACCCCACTGCCAAGACCTAGTCTATCTTAAGCAAGGGCAGGGCTGCCAGGCCATGTGACAAAAGGGCCGGGCCTTTACTGACAAGGGTGTTTTTCCTACATCCTTCTGATGGAGATCACCAAAGAAGGCGAAGGAAGGCGAGGTATTTCTTATCTAAGCGCCCAGAAGGCTGCATAAACAATCAGGGTAGACAATGCTGAGGCAACAATGGAAAAACCTAATTACATGAGATGAGCCAAGCAGTGGCCTGCTGGACGCATGGGGAAGACATTAAGGTAGGTCCAGAGGAAAAGTGCACAGCTGGCCACCACCGCTGGTCACGTCCCTGCAACCAAAGAGCTCAGAGGGGACGAGGGTCTGACAAGTCCAGGGGTGGGGTAGGGGGAGGGCAGAGTACTTTCAATCCAGGGTTGACCCCAACCCATACCACCCCATTAGGAGACAGCTAAACCCACACTGCCTGCCTTCATGCCTCAGTTTCCTCACCTGGCTAGAGGGAAAGACAGCTGGTCTACCAGATTCCTTGGATCGATAACACTCTAGGACTCTGGAAAATGACCTCCCACATCCCAACAGCTATGGCCACTCAGAGGAAGATTAGGAAGGGCCACTGTCTCCGGCTGCAGTGCATCATTTCACATTTCATTTGTAGACATGGAGGAAACAGAGGACCCAGGAAGATATGTCCCAGGTCAGGGAGGGGCCACGCACAGACTGATGACTGCAGGGAAGGAAGGCCCTGAGGCTGCATTCACAGAGGCAGTTTGGAGAAAGACGGAGAGGAAAGAAGACATTGAGGGATTGGTGGCTAGCGGGGACAGAGGCCTGGGACAGGGATTTGGAGTAGCTGGGACTAGACCTGCTGAGAATGGGAGGTGTGCAGGAAGCAGGCCCACCTGGGCCTGAGTCCTGGCTCGTCGCTCCTCACTGACTACCCTTCAGTTCCTGACCCTCCCTGAGGCACGATTATCCTACCTGTAAAATGGGAACAACACAGATTCCCCTGATAGCAGGATGTAAAGCCATGAGCAGATTATGGGGTGTTTGTGGAAGGGTCTTAGCTCTGTGTTCAGGGAAGAGGGGTCTCTCAAGTTATCCCCGGAGCTGCCAGTCCGGAGCTGAGCGGAGGAGCTGCCATAGTTACTAAGGAATAAAGACCACGGAGCCTTGGGCTGGGTCAGGCCCACCCTGTCGGGACGCAGCCCTCCAGAGACCCATGGCGACACACTGAGGCTGCAACGTGCGACCTTGGGAGGCAGGAGAGAACAGAGGCTGGGTGAGAAAGGGAGGCTTGGGCCAGCAGGGGCACTGGAAGCTGTGAAACCTCTAGGTGGACCTCTCTTCAGAGGCTGAAGGCCAGGGGTCTAGCAAGGAGAGGGGTGCTGGGGGTTCCTCTGATAGTTCACGGGATCCAAGACCCTCCCAACATCACTGAGCTTGGACCAAATGGGGCATTTTCTGCTCGACTTTCCCTTTCCCAACCTCCTCCATCAGGAAGCATTTCTGCCACACGAAAAAGGGGCACCACATGGCCAAGGCCACGAGCGCCCTCCATTCCGTGGCTGCCCTGTGCGGGAGGGAGATGGAATATTCCACTCAGGCGGGCTTGCACACCAGGGGACTTCTGTTGGCAGTGGCATGCAGGGGTTTTTCCCGTGGTTTTTAATAGCAGCACCCAGGCAGTGCCTTGTGGCTGCCAAACATTAAACAGAACAGGCACTTCCAGGTCCAGGCCTAGGCCTGGGAACAGAGCCCACAGGGTGACCCACCCTCCCCATATCCAGCCCACAAGAGCGGAGACAAGTGACAGGGCAGAAGATTTAAGACCATAGCACCCATTCAGGCATCAAACCCAATCTTGGCAGAAGCCGCTTTCTGGGCGGTGGGTGAGGGCAGGTTGGGCTAATGGTCTCCCTCCAAGCCCCCGCCGGAAGGAAGCCAGGGTCCTCAGAAATGGATGCCAGGCAGTTCCCCCCCAGCTACAACAGGTGACACGGCAAGAAAGGAGGGTAGCCAAACAAGCTGGGAGAATTCCATGCAGAAGAACTGATCTCTCTCAGCTCTGGCTCTACCCTTTCTCTCCAGGGAGGTTCTCAATAGCCTCATCACTTCTCTGAAATTGGACCACTGTCCCAGGTTTCCACTTCTCAAGCCGAGCTTTGTGAAACACAAAAGCAGCCCTCAGGTGCCTTGAACACGATGTGGCAAAGGGTACCTGGGCCCCTCCCCCAGGGCAGTGCTGGCCACCTACCGATTTCACTGGCCCTGTTCTTTCATCACCTCCCAATCACCACCAGGGGCATCTGGTCACCCTCTGCTGACCCTTCTTGGAATGTCCCCAAAGCTCCATATGCCTGAGAGGTCCCTGCTGGCATCTCACTGGAAGCTGGGAGGGTCATTTCCCCAGATGTGTAACAAGTATACCAGCCCACCCGCCAGGCAAACACCAGCTGAGCCATCTCCAGCCACAGACTGCCAGCCTGTCCCCACCGCCCAACTCCACGAGCCCCGCATAACCTGCCAGGAGGACCGGCACCCTTGGGAGGCTCAGGGCAGGAGTGACCCACTAGCCAGGGAGGAGCCTGGGCAGCGTCTCTGACGCTATGTTTTTATCTGAACCAGAATCCAAGCCGCCTCTTGCGTGATGCCCATGGCTCCTGGGTAAACGCCATCCTCTGGCTGGTTCTCCTGGTCTGGTGTCCCTACTCAGGCAGCAGGGAAACGCTGCCTTAGGCAAGTAAAGGGGCTAACTGGGAAAATAACCTCCAGTTTGGCCTTTGTCTTCTAGAAAACCGGCCAAAAGGACTAGAGGCAGGAGGGGAAGCAGGGACCCAGAGCCCAGGCTGGGGGCTGAGGGGGCCTCTGGCCACCCCACTCACGCAATGCTTTAGCTACCGCCAGGATCAGCTACGTGCGGAAAATGCGTGCCCCTTGTCCAACACTTAGTAAGAAGGTCAAGATGGGGGTGGCAGAGCATGAGCCGAGCGTGGGACCCCTTCGAGGGCCCACTGTGGCTGCCCAGCTCTTGAACCCAGGAATCTGGCCCTGCCACCTGGGGTGGGAAATAGCCCTGCTGTTGGGTGGCGACAGGGGAGCCTGGGCCTGCAGGGCCTTCTGGATTCTGACCCACTGCCTCTCTGCTACTCCGCTGCTCTCCAGTGCTGGGGGCAGGGGAGGGCTGGAGGCCACAGGCACCTGAGGCTGTCCTTGGGGGGTCCCAGCAGCCCTCTGAAAAGGCCTGGCAGGAGGGACAAGGATGGTCGCCTGTCTTTAGCCCTCCGGTCACTCATCTTCTCATGTTCTTCAGGATCTGGCCTTGCTCTCTCCTCCCTCGTGGTTTCCTCCTCGCCGATGAAGGGGTGAGGGAGCCCAGCAGCGGTGTCTGAGCCGGGGTCTAGGACAGCGAGTCCCCCCCTGCGTCCCCCCCCAGCAGCGCTAACTTTTTCCCAGCTCAGCCCCCAGGGCCCTGTGGGGTCCACTTCCTGTCTCGGCCCAGCCCCCGCCTGCCCCTCCAAACCAAACGTGCGTTTCTCCACGCAGTGTGGGTGGGGCGGGAAGAAAGGGAGCGACACTGGGGACAGATGTCTGGCTGTGAGGACTGCTTCACACAT